CTGATATGATTTTAGGTTCTTTGATGTCTGATATCTGATCCCTTCTACACCTCATGGTCAGACAGGCTGGTGTGCTTCTTCCATCTAGGCTTTGAATTTTTAAGTATTTTAACGACAAGTGACATGTTTGTTGCCAGATGCTGTCGAGTCCGTTCCGACCCCTACCAGCCCCAGGTACAGCAGAAGGAAATGCCGCCCGGCCCTTTGCCCTCTACACAGATGCTGCTGTGCTTGATTGAGCCCATGACTGCAGCCACTGTGCCATTCCATCTCACTGAGAGTCTGACTCTATTGCACAGGCCCTCTCCTTTACTAATGGAGCCCTGGTGCTATAGGAGTTACGAGTTGGGCTGCCATCTGCGTGGTCGGCAGTTCAAAACCACCAGCTGCTCCTCGGGAGAAATCCTGGGCTTTCTACCCCCCTAAATATTTACGGTCCCAAAATCCCACAGGGGGTCATTGCTGTGAGTCAGTGAACTCAATGGCACTGAATGGAGTTTCTCCTTGACTAAGCATGATGCCCTTCTGTGGAGACCCGTCCCGTCCTGAAAACAATGACCAAAGAGAGTCCTGAGACAAAATCTCCCCACCCTCTCTTCTCAGGAACATTCTAGCTGCTCTTTGCCCAAGACAGACGCACCTGTTCTTCTGGAAGCCCATGGCATAGTCACTATTCTACACACAAGTGACATACCAAAGCACCACTCACAGCCAGCATGTTGATTCCAGTTCATGGCAACTCTATAGGGCAGAGTAGAACTGTAAGTCTCTGTGGGAGCAAACAGTGCCCTCCTCCTCCCACAAAGCGGCTGTTGGTTTCAAACTACTGACCTTGTGGATAGCATCCCACTGTGGAACCAACTATGCCACCAGGATCCCTTCACAGGACATAGAAGATGAGTGTGTGTGTGTGTGTGTGTGTGTGTGTGTGTGTGTGAGAGAGAGAGGGGGGCAGGGCGGGGAGAAGGGGGTGGATTTAGAACAAGCACCAGGCTTGAATCAGCTCCTCGTCACTGGCTCCAAGGCCTGGCCTAAGACTTGACCTGGCTCTGGCTCTGACTCTGTGTCCTTTCAGGCTAGGCCTGGCTCTGGCTCTGACTCTGTGTCCTTTCAGGCTAGGCCTGGCTCTGCAGGAGAAGGGAGTGCACGTGATCCTGTTTGACATCAGCAACCCCAAGCAGCCCCTGCCCGACGGGATCAAGTTTGTCTACGGAGACATCCGCAGCCTGGAAGACCTGGACCGCGCCTTCCAGGGCAAGGACATCACCTGCGTGTTTCACGTGGCATCCTTTGGCATGTCCGGGCGGGAGCAGCTAGACTCCCACCTGATCGAGGACATCAACGTGAGGGGCACAGAGAACGTGCTGCAAGCCTGCCAGCGCCTAGGGGTGCCGAGGATCGTCTACACCAGCACCTTCAACGTCGTGTTCGGAGGGCAGGTCATCTGCAATGGCGACGAGTCCCTGCCCTACCTGCCCCTCCACCTCCACCCTGATCACTACTCCCGGACCAAGTCTGTGGCCGAGAGGACAGTGCTGGAGGCCAACGGCAAGGCCCTGGCCCGCGGGGGCGGCATCCTGCGCACCTGCGCTCTGCGGTCCGCGGGCATCTACGGGCCGGGCGAGCAGAGGCACCTGCCCCGGATCGTGAACTACATCGAGAAGAGGCTGTTCTGGTTCGTGTACGGGGACACGGACAGCCTGGTGGAGTTCGTGCACGTGGATAATCTGGTACAGGCCCACATCCTGGCCGCCGAGAGCCTGAAGGCAGACCGCGGCCACGTCGCCGCTGGGCAGCCCTACTTCATCTCCGACGGCAGGCCGGTGAACAACTTTGAGTTCTTCCGGCCACTGGTGGAAGGCCTGGGCTATCCGTTTCCCTCCATGCGCCTGCCCTTGACCCTCATCTACGGGCTGGCCTTCCTGACGGAGATGGTCCATGCCGTCGTGGGCCCGCTGTACAACTTCCAGCCCTTCCTGACCCGCGCCGAGGTGTACAAAACCGGCGTCACCCACTACTTCAGCCTGGAGAAGGCCAGGCGTGAGCTGGGCTACAAGCCGCAGCCGTTCGACCTCCAGGAGACTGTCCAGTGGTTTAAAGACCGCGGCCACGGCTTCGACCCCAAGATCCCCGACCCAAGGAACCTTGTTTGGGACGGAATGGTCATCTTCATTGTGGTCACAGGACTGCTCACCTGTCTGCCTTGGTCCTTGATTCTGTCCATGTGATGGAGTGAGCTCCAGGGACCTCAATGGCCAGGGTCCCCCGAGCAGAGTGTTCAAGACACACAGGGCTCATGGTCCCCTGTAGTGGTAATCTGGTGCCAAATTCTGACCCTTCAAATACCTGCCACTTTAAGAGCAGGTCCTTGGATGAAATCTTCATCTCCTGAACCTCTTCACACGAATCTGGGATAATGGACAGGGCTTTCCACTCCCGTGGATAGTTACAGTCCAGAAACCCACAGGGGCAGTTCTGCCCTGATTGTGGGCCTACACTGATCTCTGGTGGGAAGGGAAAGAAGGTTAGAGGTGTAGTCTCTTAGGTTTTTCTCTTTCCAAGGGTAGGAAAGAAGTCCCAGAGTAGGCGTGGGGGGGGGGGAGGGATGTCTCACTGGACTTTCCTGGAGGCCTTTAAAACCATTCCAGACACAATGCACTTACTTCTAATGCTCTCGGAACCCGGCCAAAACACTATGCATGGGGAAACTCTTGTATGGGGAAACACTGACAGGCTTGGCGATGAGTGGGATCCGTCAAACAGAGCAGGAATCCTAAG